GGCGGGGGCGTCCGGCGGGGCAGGTGCTGCCGGGGGGGGACGGCGGGGCTGGGCACGGGGATGGGGCTGCCTGCTGCCGCGTCTGTGTATGTGTGCATGAGCATACGTGTGTGTGTGCATGCGTGAGCATGCATAGATATACGTGTGTGACTATGTCCCCGTGCATACGTGGGCATGCATGAGGATGCGTAGGCGTGTGTATGTATATGTGTCCGTGTGTGTGAGCGTGCACAGATGTGTGCGCATGCTTGTGCGTGCGTGCATGAGTGTGTCTGTGTCCTGGGGGGGGCATTCATGAGTGTATATGCATGTGTGTGTCCATGCATGCATGTGGATGCGTGAACACGCACAGATGTGCGCCCCTGTGTGTGCATGCGCACACGTGAACATGCACGGCTGTGTGTCTGTGTCGCAGTGTGCGTGTGCGTGCACAGGTACACACGGATACGTGTGTCCCTACCTGCACATGCATGCGTGCATGGATGTTTGTGCGCGTGTGCATGCATGTGACCTCTGGCTGTCTGCATGCACGCGTGCATGCATGCATGGGTGCAATTGTGCATGCACATATGTGTATGTATGTGCAATTGTGCATGGGGGGGTGCGCCATCCTGCCCCGGACCCCCTTTGACCAGCAGGTCTGCGTTCCCCTGGCCCCCACCCTGAGCCACCCAAAGATGCGGGTGCCATGGCCAGAGGGGAGCCATCAGCCCCCTTGCAGTGATGCTGCTGCAGGGGCCGAGAGACGCCAGCACGGCTGCGCTGGGTGGATATCGCAGCATCTAATACATCCTGAGCTGATGTAGCTCCTGATCTGGCCCAGAGATTTTCTTGGGAAAAGGGATCACAGCCACTCTTGGAAAGTTCCTGCCCGTGTTGGTGATTTTTTGGTGCCGGGGGAGCTGCTGGTGCAGCCTGGCAGAGGATGCCCGCTCTGCGGCTGGACTGCCCCGTGGTGCAGTTCCTTTCTCCCTGCTATTTCCAGCCCCGCAGCCTCTCCAACTGATCTTGTGTTGGGCTAGGGAGTCGCTTTGGGTTTCCTCAAGGCAGGCAAAGGGTGCGCAGGGTGGGCAGAGCCACTGCTCTTCAGCCACGAATCTGTTGTGTCCTCAGCCAGGGACATGCCTGGTGCTGGCTCACCTCTCCCGGCAGTGCCAGAAAGCCCAGTGAGATGCTTCCCGGGACTTCCCATGCCTGTGAGGTGCCCCCGTGCCTTATTTGCTTGTGATTTGAGTCACACTGTCCCCTCGGTCCCCGCTTCCCCATCCCTCGGTGCTAACGGCTCTCCTCTCTGCCGGCCGCAGGTGACCAGGATGCTGCACCATGGGAAGCACTGGAGGTCCATGTGCAAGGGGCTCGTCCTGGGGACCCTCCTGACCAGCTTCATGCTGCTGCTCTACTCCTACGCCATCCCCCCGCTGCAAGTCAGCGTGACAGAGTGAGTGTGGGGTCCCCGCGTGTCCCCCCGGCAGCTTGGCCACCCTGTTTTGCACTGGGCATCTCCAACCAGAGACGGTCCCAGAGCTTTCTAGGCTCTGGTGGCTTCACACCAAGATGTCCCCTTCCTACAGCCTCCTGTTGGAGACTGCGCCCTGTCCCATGGGTGGGGGGGAAGGCAAACCCCAAGTCCCTGGGAAGCTGGGGATGCTCACCCTGGGGGGGACCTGCTGCAAAATGGCAGCCAGCACTCGGCTCCAGGGTGATGGAGGGGACGAGGAGGTGCAGGAGACCCTCTACCCATGGTGGCTTCATGTCCCCTCAGAGAAGGAAAGGCATCAGAGGAGACATTCCCTGGCAGCCAGAAGCAGCAGGCAGAGCGGAGGCAGTTATTTGGGTGCTCTTTATCAAGGGCTTGTCCTTCAAGAGTGACCAGAGCACTGCCACATGTAAATTCTCGCCCACAGAGATGGGCACGGGTAGGTTCAAAGCTCTCTGCTGCTTGTCACGGCAAAAGCTGGCGCTTGGCAGGGCTCAGCTCCTGGCTGCCTCTCCTGGCATTAAATTTATGTCTAAGCTTATAAAAGAGATCTGCCTGTGGGTGTTTCATAAGCTACATGCTGACCTGCACTGCCGGATGGGATCGTTATCAAGGATCAGCTTTGCAACTTCATTAATGGTGTCTGAAGTCACTTGACACTGTAGTCTCTTTTCCCTGCTCTGGGCATCTCAAATAACACACAAGTTGTTCTCGGTGCTTCCCAAGGGCCCATGAGCTCATCTGTGGGGCCATGCACTAGAATTATTTCCCTCCTTGCTGGGGTGTTGGATCCTCCATGACTCCTACAAGGACTTGAGGGCTTCCAGACCTCACAAGAACATTATCAGGTCCTGTCTGTGGAGTTACAGCCATGGAGAGCTCGTCTCGATGCGCATCTCAACACCACCTGCACCAGGACCACCATGGCTGTGCTCATGGGGAGGGATGGGGACCCCCTGCTCAGGCTGCACTGGTGCTGGCAGGGGCTGACCACTGTGAAGACCCCCATAGCAGTGCATCCTCGGTGGCTGGGCTTGTCCAGGGGAGTGAATGAGCTTGGTTTGGTGGCTTGAAGGTGCATCTGGTGTCAGGGGGCTCATGGAGGTGGTGGGCTCTGCCCTGCTCACTGAGGGGCTCCTGCCGGGTGGGTGCCCCCCATTCCCACTGGGCATGTGGCTGGGGGTGAAGGGGGCTCTGCCTGAAGCCGGGCTTGTCTCCGCTGGGGAGCCTGGGGGGTGCTGGAGGTAGGCACCCATCCCCAGCTCCAGCACCCATCCCCAGGTCCAGCTCCTCCAGGAAGGAAAACGGCCGAGCCTTCGTCTTGGTTGTGCTTGGGTTGGCCAAGCTGCCCTCACCGTGGTGTCCTGTCTTTTCTCCCCACCAGGATCCCCGTCCCCTCCTCCTGCTCCTCGTACCCGGCCCCCGGCAAGGCGCCAGCAGTGGCCAACAGCACGGGCAGCCCCTCGGGACGGAGCTGCCTGCCCAAGCTGAACATCATGTTCATGAAGACGCACAAGACGGCCAGCAGCACCATCCTCAACATCCTCTTCCGCTTCGGGGAGAAGCATCGCTTGAAATTCGCCTTCCCCAATGGCCGCAATGACTTCTACTACCCCTCCTACTTCGAGCGCAGCCAGGTGCAGCACTACCAGCCGGGCGCGTGCTTCAACATCATCTGCAACCACATGCGCTTCCACTACGAGGAGGTGCGCAAGCTCCTGCCGGCGGACGCTACCTTCGTGACGGTGCTGCGGGACCCTGCCTACCTCTTTGAGTCCTCTTTCCACTACTTTGGGCGCGTCATCCCCCTCACCTGGAAGCTGACAGGGGAGGACAAGCTGGCGGAGTTCCTCCGGGACCCCTGGCACTACTACGACCCCAACGGGTTCAATGCTCACTACCTCCAAAACCTCCTCTTCTTTGACTTGGGCTACGACAACAACATGAATGCCAACAGCCCGCTGGTGGAGGAGCACATCCAGGAGATAGATCGCCGTTTCCACCTCGTCATGTTGCTCGAGTACTTTGACGAGTCCCTGGTGCTGCTGAAGGACCTGCTGTGCTGGCAGCTGGAGGACGTCCTCTACTTCAAGCTCAACGCCCGGAAGGGCTCCACCGTCTCCTGGCTGACACCTGAGCTCTATGAGAAGGCTACCTCCTGGAACCTCATCGATGCTAAGCTCTACCGCTATTTTAATGCCACCTTCTGGCGTAAGGTGGAGGCCTACGGGAGGGAGCGGATGGCCAAGGACGTGGCCGAGCTGCAGCGGGAGAACGAGAAGATGAACAGCATCTGCATCGACGGGGGACACCCTGTGGATGCCAGTGCCATCCAAGAGTCCTCCATGCAACCCTGGCAGCCGCTGGGGGAGAAGTCCATCCTGGGCTACAACTTGAAGAAGAAGATCAACAAGAAGCACCAGAAGCTGTGCCGCAAGATGCTGACGCCCGAAATCCAGTACCTGACTGACCTGGGGGTTAACCTCTGGATCACCAAGCTATGGAGCCGCGTACGGGACTTCCTGAAGTGGTAGGGGATGGCAGGCACCCAACTCTCCCCGGGGAAGAACCAGGTGCTTTCCTTTTTCGTACTCATGGTGTCTTTTGGTTGGACGTGAGCAGAACCAGCTGGAGGCTCCAGCACCCCGGAATGGTCAGGGGGACCCTCCATCACCTTCCTGCAGAGCCCCAGCTTGGGCAGGAGCCTGTGGGGGGGCTGCTGTCACCCACTGGCAAGGAGAGCAGAGCCTCTGCCTCCGAGGCGTCAAGGACTGGGGGCTTGGGGGTGTTTTTTTCCAGCAGGATCCACTTCTTCCTTCCCCACGGAAAGGCCAGAGGAGGTATTTGTGAAGGACGTGGCCTCGTCACAGCGGGAGCAGGACATCCATCACCACGTCGCTGGAGGCACGCCATGGGTCGGGCAGGGCCATGCCTGGCCAGCAGTGGCAGGGGTTCCTCCTTGCCCGGGGTGGGCAGAGCTGCCAGCTGGGAACCTGAACCTTGAGGGGCTCCTCAAATCACCCCTGGTTTTGGGGCTGCGTGTGGGAGCCTGCTGCACCACCCCAATGGGTTCCGGCCCATGGGTGTGATGAGTGCAGCACATTCTCAGCCCACCCGCAGCTGTTGGTCCACGGCAGGCTGTGACTTGGTGCCACCCGGAGCCATTTGGAGAATGGAAAACCCACCCCAAAAGCCTCGGCGTTTATCAACGAGCTCATGGTCCCCGCGGGCGAAGGACATCCATGCAGCAGGTCCCCTCCCAGCCCCCCATTGTCCTGGTTAGAGGGTCCCGGGGCTCCGGTCCCTACAGGGGACATCCTGGAAGGTCCACGGGGTCTGGTGAGAACTGGCATGGGAGCAGGGCCCAGTGGCCACTGTCACGGTGATGCCATTCCTTGGGCACGGGGGGGATGCCAAAGACAGGGTCTGTCCCCTCCCCGTGGTGGCGACAAACCTCGGGCATCCCGGCCGGGCTGAATGACACCGGCAATGCCACGTCCTGCCGAGAGTGGCCCTGGCCAGGCATGGAGGTGGCACCCGCGGTTGAGCCTCCTTGGCAGCGAAGGGACCCCCGCCAGCCCCCCAGCCCGTGTTCTGCTCCCTTTGTAAAGACCAGAAATAAAAAAGCAATTCTACTTTTGTAAGATAATTGTATATTTGGCAGTTTTTAATATAAGGATGGTCCAGCTGGTCTCCATCTGTCTCCTTCTTCTCCAAGGGTGGGAGGGACGGGGATCTCCCAGCACTGACTCCCGGCGTGGGGCTGTGCGGCTGCAGCAGGATTATCTGCAGGTCCCCGCTCCTCCCGGGGGGCAGGATCCTGCTCTGCCTGGGGAGGGTGGTCCGGCAGCCCCTCAGGGTCTCGGCTCTGTCCTCCCCATCAGTCCTGGGGGTGGGGAGCCCCCCATTCCCTGGGCACCACTGAGGAACGAGACCCCCAGTGCGAGTGGGGTGCCTGGATCTGTCCCCGCTGTCCCTGCAGAGGCACCCGCGCTGCCAGGTGCCGGCGCGGGACTCCCACAGCGTGCAGATGCCACCAGGAAGGTCTGCTGGTTTTGCAGGGACACCAGACCCATGGGACAGCCATCACTGGTGACACAACTCACTCGTGCCACCGGGTCCCAGCTCCACTGCTGGCAGGTACACCCCGTTTTCAGGGGTGGCCCTGGGACTTTGCACCAGGGCTTCTCCAGCCGAAGCACCGGCACCAGCGGTACCAGGGTGGATGCATGCCCTAATGGCCAGTCTGGAGCCACTGCTGGGGCCACCAACTGGATGTGATGCTGCCCATGGACACAAGGGACGGGTGCTGGGGACACAGAGCTTGGGACCCTGAGGTCCGCAGGTGTCTCCCATGACATGCTGAGGTTTCCTGCTGGGAGCAGGTGCCAAATCCCACCTCGGCCACCAGTTGCCTCTGCGGATGGGGGGGATGGAGAAGCCCCTTCCAAGGCAGGATGATGGCCGCACAGCCCACCTGGGCTGACATCCCCGTGGGGACATGCTTTGTGTCCCTCTGCGCCCAGGCCACCAGGTCAACCCACACAGAGGGGGCTGTGATGGGGTTTTGGGGCCACCAGAGACAGGCAGGAGCCACAGACACGTGCGCTTCACCAGGTCTCTGTCCTGGCTGTGACCAAACTGCTGCCCCCGGCCAGGGTGCTGGTCCCAGAGAGCGGCCAGCAGCGAGCCCCGGGGTGGGAAGCAGCAGCTCTGCCCTTGCCTGAGGCCAAAGGGTGGAAGGAAAGTCCTCCTGCTGGAATCCCCCATCCCAGCATCCAGCAGCCTCCTCCTACAGGCTTTTGTTCTCAATAAATGGGACCAAGCTGGGACTATGGGTCCAGGATTGCGTGGTGGGGCTGGGGCTGGGGCTGCAAGCAGGACCATAATGGGACAAGGAGGGTGCATTGGGGACCAGGACTGTGTGATGGGACCGGGATTGTGCACGGGACCATGATTGAGTGGTGGGATCAAAACTGTGATGGGCCTAGGACCGTGAGGTGGGACCATACCATCAGGTGGGACTGAGACTGAGTGGTGGGACCAGACCATGCAGTGCAACTGGGACCAGGGCAAACTGGCTGGACCAGGACCACATGCAGGACCAAAACTGCGTGGTGGGACCAGCACCATGCACGGGTCCAGGACTTACTGGTGGATATGGGACCACGCAGTGGGACCTGGACCTTGCTCAGGACCAGGACCACGTGCAGGACCAGACTGAGTGCAGGTGGGACTGAGACTGTGCGATGGAACGGGGACTGAGTAATGGGTGCAGATCCTTGTGACAGGACTGGGATGGTGTGTAGGACCAGCCCCATGGGTGGGACTGATGATTGACTGCAGAAAAAAATCAAGCAAATCCCCAAAACCCGGCAGCACCAGCTGGGGCCCGTTGGCACTCAGCCCTGGTGTTTAAAGCCCCCCCCAGGTGGTGGGACTAGAGCTGCTGCTCACTGAGCATGGGGCTGTGCTGGTGGGTGCTGGTGTGTGAGGCTGTCCTGGGGGTGGCAGGTGAGTGGGGCTGGGACCCCCTGGCTGTTCCCCTCAGTCCCCCCGTGGGTTGTACTGGGGGAGGTGGGTGGTGGCACCCATGTCTGGTTGCAGGAGGGTGGTGGGTGCCACTGGGTTTTGCCTAGTGCTGGTTCCTGAGGCCCTCCTGGACCTGCTGGCACAGGTCTTCTTGGTGGAGAGGAGACTTCTGAAAATAACCCTGTGCTCTGGGGATGTAGGGTTGGAGCAAGGGAGCTTGCAAGGAGCTCCTTGTGCCCCCAACTCCTGGTAGGTCTGTAAGGACCTGGTTTGGATGGGGGGGGACTAGAGCCACTGGTGGGGTACATGGCTGCTGGCAACCGTCTCCCATCCCATGAGCAGCTCCTGCTCTGTCCCTAGCCTTGGCCAGGGTCACGGTACTGGGGAATGCTCTTGGTGCAGCCCGTCGGCTCCCAGCGGTGGCTGGGGATGCTTAACCTTGCACTTGGGGAGGGTTGTGGAGACCCTTGTGGAGCAAGGGTCCTCCAGCACCCACCACCACAGCGACTACAGTGGTCCCGTGCCAGGGTCTGGCCACCAAGACCAGGGGAGGTCCGAGCTGGGGATGGAGGAGCACCTCGATGCGCCCAAACCCAGCTGAGCTCCTGGGCGCACTCCCCTCCTTTGTGCTGTTGCCATCTGTCCTCCATGAGTCCCGGGGACATCTGAGGACTTGGATATCCTCACTGTGCCTGGGACACGCTGGCTAAACTTTCCCCTTGCTGCAGGGACCACCATGGCTCCAGCTGCTTCGGAGTCCTCCGGTCACACAGTGGTGGCTCCAGTGGTGTCCTCAGGCATGGGGACAAGGGCTGTGGCCCCAGTCCTTGCTGCTGCCACTGTGCCTGGTGGAGTTCATCCTCACCCCCGCTCAGAGGAGCCCATCGTGAACTTCACCTTGAGGCTCCTGGATGGTGAGTGCTCTGGGTCTTGTGCTGGGTGCAAGCTTTGGGGGATGAGACCACAGGATGGGTCCAGCCAAGTCCCCTTGTGCTTTCTCCTGGTTGGCCTCAGCACTAGGACCCACCAGGAGGAGGTGGGTGTCTCTGCAGGACCTCCCCTCCCAGTCTTGCGGAGGGCTTTGAATGGCGGTGCTTTGAGACGTTCCCAGTCCTCTGCCTGATACCACAAGTGGATTTAGGGGGTCAGCTGCCCCTTGTCATTCTGATGGGTGATGTGGTCCCTCTCAGCTCCGGGGGGGGGGACCAGGAATGTGTTGTAGCTCTGGAGAGCAGGCAGGGAAGCCAGACTGGGGTGACAGAGCCAGGATAGCTCTTGGCTTTTGGGGACAGGGGTGGGCTCTGAAATTGGGGAGCTGCAGGCAGGTACCTGCCTCGCAGGGGTGGAGGCATAGACACCTATGGGCGGTGATCTGGGACATGCCTGATGCCCCTGTCTGTGGTGGGACAGGCTTGGGGATGTCACACTGAGCCCACCCTCCCTTCTCCTTCAGGAGATCCCAGTGCCGTGAAGAAGCCACTGGTGCTCAGCCCTGGCTCTGCCATCCGCCTGGAGGCCAGAGTTGACTTCAGTCCTGGCATCTCCCTGAAGATCCACGTGGACCAGTGCTATGGGACCAGCTCGGAGCAGTTGGGACACTCCAGGAGGGTCTTCACGGTGGTGAACAGCCATGGGTTAGTGCCCATGGGGTGGGAGGTGTGGACCACTGCTCCAGGCACCCTGAGGTCCTGCAAGTCCTCCTAACAGTGCCTGGAAACAGCCTGGGAATGTCCCTGTGTTGCTCTCCTGCCTCAGGTGCCTGCATGGGCAGAAGTTGGGGAGTATGTCTGTCCAGCACTGGAGAGGGGGGTCTGCCCTCCAGCTCACCATCCTGGCCCCCATGCTGGAGGATGAGCCCGAGGAGGTGAGTTGCAGGTGATGTCCTTGGTGGTGGGATGGAGGTCCTACAGGTGATGACCTGGTGCTCCCAAAGCACCATCCCTCCTGGGACAACCTGCTCCCCGCTGGGGTGGTCTCAGCCCCACAGGGTTGGGTGGGAGGAGAGAGCAGGGTCCCTGAGGAAGGATCTGGTGGCAGCTGGTGTCTTGACAGATCTACGTGCACTGCCTCTTGACGGCATGGGGTCCCGCCGGTGCCTGGGAGCATGGTGCCAGGTCCTGCTTCTACAGCCAAGCCACAGCCAGGTAAGATCAGCCCCTGGTGCAGGCTCCCTGTCAGTGCCCCAGGATATGAGCACCTGTGGGTGCTTTGGGACTAGAAGCCACTTGTCAAGGGGACCCATCTGGGGGACCAAGCCACTCCATCATGGTCTGAATGCCACCTCTTCTCCTGTGGTAGCCAGGTGGCACCACTACAAGTCCTGGCTCCCTCCTGGTACGGATGAATTGGGGAGGTGCTTGGTGCCACCTGGAGGACATCTTCTCTGGGGTGGCCAAGACCTGGAGGGACCTGCTGGCATGGCACCATGTGGGTCTTGTGGTGGAGGCTGGGGACCCCTAGACCCCCTCAGCTCTGTCCTCTCCTCCCAGCTGGCACAACGCAGAGGACCCTTCTCGGAGCACCCTGTGCCACTGCTGTGACACCGGCTGTCCCCCTGGTGACGCCCTCCCCAGAGAGCTGCCAGGTACCAGGGCTGGGATGTGGTGGCCCCACACATGGTTTTGGGGTCTTGGGAGGGGGGGTGGTGGTAGTTGTAGGGCTGGGACAGGCTCTATTGGCCATGTCCTCCTACAGGGTTCCTGGGAGAGGGGACACTCCACTGGGAGACGGTCGGACCATTGCTGGTGCAGAAGGTACCATGGTATGAAGGTGAGCAGACACCCCCAACCCTCTCCTTGTGGCCCTGAACCCACCGTCCCAAGCGCTGAAGTAACCTCTGAACCCCCTATTTTGTTTTGGGGTTTTGTTTTGTTTTTTCTTTGCCATCCCCAGCACCATGCCTCACAGTGGAGAAGTTCCTGCTGGCTGGGCTGGCCCTGGTGGGCAGCACCCTGATGGCAGCCGTCCTGGTGGGGGGTCTGCTGGGGCTGGCCTTGGCCGCCTGGCGCCTGGGCAGGAGCCGGCAGGGACGGCAGCGGCCAAGACAGCAATGTCCCTTCTACGCCGAGCTGCAGAGCGTGGTGGGGACCCTGGGCCCCAAGGAGCTGGAGAAAGGGGGTGAGGTGGGTCCAGACTACCGCAGCCTGGTGTAGGGCTTGGTGTGAGCCAGTGACCCCCTTCCTCCCCAATAAAAGGTGGTTTTCTTTTCTCTATAGCTTCTCCTGGTGGTACCAGCTGGATGCCACCATGGGCTGGGGCTGTGCCACCACACCTGATAGCCACCTCTCCTGGTGGTACCTCCTGGTACTAGGAGATGTGGCTTCTACGTGCAGTGGTATGACTGCAGCCCACGGTGCTGGTGCCTCCTGTCTGGGGGGGATTTGGGTCCATGGAGGCACCACAGAAGATCTTGGATATGATGGCAGCTCCTTGGGGCCAGTCCCCAGGATGTCCCATGAGGCTGGTAGTAGCTGTGGAGGGATGGAGGTGTTCCAGCTAGGACCTGGGGGATGCTGGTGGGGTGCTCAGGGCTGCTCTGGGAGTGTGGGGACCCCCCCATCCCACAGTGGAGATCCCCCAGGGCTGGGGACCCAGCCAGATCCATGTCTGTCCCCCCCCAGGAGGGGACATGGCAATGGGTCCCTGCCAGTGCTGGCATGGCTGCGGTACCCAAACATCACCCAGCGTGGGGTCAGGCTTGAAATGGTTTATTAGGACCAGCCGTAGGGCAGGGTGGCCGCTCCAGCGACGTCACCGGAGTGAGGGTTCACAGTAGATGGGTCATAGCACCCCAAAATCAGCAGTGTGCCTCAGTTTCCCTAGACCAGGGGGGATTCAGTGTGGGGCTGGGGGCTCTCCTGGTGCCCTGTAGAGCTTACGGAGGCTGGAATCCATCAGGAAATCCACAGTCCTGCAGCGGGAGAGGGGGTCAGCAGGGTCCTGGGGGGTCCCTGGGGTGCAGTTAACTGGCTGTGATGGCGGGGGGCTGGCTGGAGCTGTCCCTAATGTCTCCGAGGCCCCAGCCCTACCAAAACCAAGCTTAGGGCATCCTCACCTCGCTAATCCCCGGCTCAGCGCCTGGCTCCTGCTAATCTCCATCCCTGCGGGGCCGTGTCCCAGCCAGACCCCAGCAAAGCCCCTTTGGGATGAGGACCCCCCCGCCACCCACTCAGCCCCTAGCCCATACTGGGACCAGTTCCCCTGGGAGAAGCAGCATTCCATCCCTCCAGCCTGGGATGTGGGGATGGGGTTGTGGTACCTGCTTGTCCCTAACGGGGTGTCCCTCTGTGTGTCCCCCCCCCTTACCTGTCGATGGGGGTGATGATGAGGGGGATGGCAGCCAGCCCCAGGGCAGTGGTGGTCCACCGGCGGACGGGCAGGGGCCAGCGGGTGAGGGTGCCCAGCAGGGCCAGCGAGGCGGCGCAGAGGCGGTTGATGGTGAAGCCGGGGATGGCCACCGAGGCCAGGCTCTGCCAGACGAAGGTGTCCGCCACGGCTACCCCCACCCGCGTGGCCTGTGCGGGGTCCTGCGCGTGGGCCTGGGGGGG